TAATAAAATCACTTTGGTTAATTTCGTGAATGTATGAGACTTTTCTAATATATAGTAATGCTTAATTTAGCAAATCACTGGATAGATAATGATATATTGTTTCACTATTGAAGTGACTTCATTGTTTTGAATCAATACCTAATTATTAATTATGCACAATAATTGGATGATTATTATTTGGGTGGAACTAAAGTACGACTTATCAATGTATTAAAGCTTCAGTGAAAAAAAGTCATATGAGTACGTCCAAGTCGATCATCTAATCTTTTTTTTTACTGAATGACCATAAAACATGTAGCTAATAATTGATTTCAAATGGAACTTGATGTTATGTTCATTATCTTCAAACTCGATGACCGGGAATAAATGAATTAAGTAAGAACTAGAATATAAGTGTTCCTGAGTATACACCTCAGTAATTGAATTAACTAGCATATACAGTAGTAATAAATGATCGAAGTATAATAGGATTGACTGAACATCAACTTTGGGTTGCAGGGACAACCAAATGACGAGTCCAAGATAAGATGAAACTCGCATCCTCGATCCAACTGCTAGCTATCATCCATCTCCGCTCATAATGCTTGTAACTTCATGGCAATTTTAAGGCAATCCACATAGGATGCACATATGACAAAAAGAGACTGATCAATTAGTTTTAAACAAAAATGGAAAGACCTGAACAACCATTACAAATAAAATATAAATATTCTTGAGTATACATTTAAGTAATTGAATTAATCAGCATGTACATTAGTAATAAGCAATCAAAGTATAATAAGACTGAATGAACACAATTGGACCATCATTATAGTAGTGTTCGAATAATCCCAAATTTAGACCTTTTTGTAAATGAATTGGATTTATACCGACAAAATCATTTAGGATCATCAGCAGTCACATTAGAACAGAAATAACGCTGGCAATAGAACAGCTAGTAATTGTATTGTAGTGAAATAAATTCAGGACTGCATTAGACTGACCTAACCCAATTTTTATCGAAATAAATTCAAACTGTCCAGAGTATCAACTAGATAACGTGTATTAAGTATTTATACATTAATATAGTAGTGGAATATGATTAAAGAATATACAGATAGACAGAACTAAACAAGGGAGTATTTGGGAGATTCATGTGCAAAGAGTTGGAATATGCAGTTATGTTCATCTAACATATCTGTTTTAGATAACACAAATGTTCCAAAACTAAGTAACTTAAACAGGTAAGATATTGTACCATATTCCGTCGTGAATGTATTAACTGTTAGAAGATCAGAGGTAATCATATTCAGCTGTATTGCTGTAGCAAATATGAGTCATTATAATGGCAATGATATCCCTTACTTACTACTTACTTAAGCCTGTTACTCCTCGTGAAGGAATATAGGCTGCTTACCAGCACTCTCCATTAAACCCTGTTCCAAGTGATCCTTTCCAGCTCTTTCCAGTTGTTATTCATCCTTTTCATATCTGCTTCTATTTCCCGACGTAATGTGTTCTTTGGACTTCCTCTTTTCCGCTTCCCTTCAGCAGTTCAAATTAGCGCTTGTCTCGTTATGCAGTTTGGTGATTTCCGTAATGTATGTCTTATCCATTTCCATCATCTTTTCCTAAGTTACTCTTCAGCTGGAAGCTGGTTTGTTCCCTCCCACAGGAGGCTGTTACTGATGGTATCCGGCCAATAATGATATCCCTAATGACTATCTGTCCTTCATATGGGCTGTTAATAGTATGGTGTGTTTATCTTCCATTTACCTCAGTATGATTAGCTAAATCATCGCATAACAACCAACGTAGTATCCAGGACACAAATAACGAAACTATAAAAAAAAACAAGCTGGCCTGGTCTAAAAATTCTTGCCAAAAACATATTTTTGCTATCAAATATGTGCATATATTTCAAATTTATAATTTTTTTATTTCGCTACCAAGTCACTAAGTGTTCGATAAATTACAAAGTATCAAGCATAGTCATTTGATAGGTTTATTCTATCAATTAACAAGCTATAAAATCACAAATTATTACGTAATATCAACACTACATTAAATAATCACCAGATAGAAACCTCAACTATGTAGGTGGATTTTAGGCCAAAATTAGACACTTAAATAGACCTATGACCAAATACAATGTCATGAAATTTTAATCGGTATCTAACCGAATAGAAAATACTCCTCATCTTTACAATGATTGGTTGTAAAGTGTAGAAAGTAAATAACGGAATTTCGCCAAATTAATACCCAAGACTTTAAAAGTTGATAAACTAATAGCCTTTTCCTTGATAACATTGAGTAGGTAAAATAATGAAAAATCAAAGTTCCTGTTTATATTGCGGTGAATCTATAATTTATGGACGAACCAATCAGATTTAGGATAATAGGTCTTAGATTTTGGCGTAAAATTCACTCACCCATTTGGCCAAATAGCGTCTTGACATTTTAGCTGATGTCAGTTTGTGATGAAAAGCCGTAAATCTAACTCCTAACCCTAACCATCAACTGTGAATCATAATCCTTATTTTCCAAACTGATTAATAACCCTCATTTAGCCCTAATAAGTAAGCAGACACTCTAAAGATCACTTTATCGTCGCTCAGAGGTCGTCCATAAATTATAGTCTCACCAACTTGACTTGTGGATATCGGTTTGTGATTTTGCACTTTTCGTTTCCAACGCTTGGTACGTATTAATCACATTGGTTATAGATTATAAGGCTTTTGATGGATATTATTTTGGTAATTTTTATTTCTTCGAAGAGACTTAACATATTTTAAATGCCGAATTTGAAGGTATGATGAGACTCCAAGTAGAAAATCTGAGTTCTATTATCTGCTTCACTGCCGTTCATAGATGAGGATTCAGATCTAAAGGATTTTAATGGATACTAAAGCTCATATTGCCTTTGATCAATCGGCAAAAATGAAGTATTTAAGACATTATCAGAAATCTAATGACTTACATAAGTATATCATTATAAGGTAAATTTGGATAAAGGTATCAATAGAAACAAGGAAGTGCATTTTGTCCAGATCAAAACTCGGTAGATGGATGTCCTTGCATCCTAGTGTTTTAAATAATGAAACAGACATTTATCCTTGCCGTATAGGCTAGTGACTATCTGAACCTATATGATCAATGGATAACTCATTGACCATTTGAAGTGAAAGCTGCTGTGTTCAAGTCCTGGCATTAGTATCAATACAGGTATCCATTCATAACCAGCTGACAAGTCCCAGATAACACAAGAAGAGTGTCATGGATTCTACCGCTAGCCAGTAGAATGACAATGTGATCGAGATGCACATACGTTAAAAGAGATTGATCAACCATAATAGTTAACAGCAACAACAGAAAAATAAAATCCTTTTAGAATAATAAATACAGTGCGGATCTAAATGGTAAGTGACTGTTCTAGTCTTGCAAATGTCCCTTGAAAATAGTATTTTCAAGGCTAAATGTTTTCAAATAACGTACGGTATTACCATTTTATTTCGTTTGTTCAAGATAACAATCTCCCTATTATCAACATCAGCATACGTTGATAAATATACCAGAAGCATGAACTCTAGTGCTAACCACCTGTTCATGTTTATGAGCAAAAAATTATCCGTTAAAACAATTTTTTATCTGGATTGCATTTACAATAATCGGAAAGAAAGGAGAAATACCCTAGTTAAAGACACATACACCTATTTAAAATGAAATTACATGAACCTATGACTGTAAAATTCCAAATAAGTCATAAAAGTTATTTAGATCACCAATTGTTTTGCATTACAGTGATACAAAGACGCAATAATGTATTCAAGAGTTAGTATTCTGTTTTTTATAGCAGAACTTTTAAACCTCTGCTATGAGAAGTAATGAAATTCTTAGATATTTCCATTTGTTTTAAGATAGATCACGAGGTGACTTTATTTCACCATTCCTCATTCCTAATAACGATTTGTGCACTAAAATGATTTATCTTTCTTTTCATCGACGATTAGCCATTTCCGGCTCAATAGTCACGGTAGAATAAAATCAGAGTGGATTTCCTCTTGTCTCCGAATGATCGTCAGGTTGCACATACTATCCAAATAACTAGTATCAACATTTCTATTTAGGAGCATGATCTTAACAGAAATAATCGTTATGAGGGTTATCACAAGCCAACCTACCTACTGTCTTTATCATTGAAGTGATAATGCTTGTAAAAGAAATAAAGTTGAGCTACAAGCCAGCTTCAGTAATCCAATCCGTAATAGGACAAATTTGATTTCAATGAGAGTAAAGCGTTGTACAGTTGTTGCAGTAACCATTCCATCCATCACACAATCTGTATGAAATTGCTGTCCAGTTGACACAAGTTGTTATTTGGTGTGAAACCACACTACAGCACTAATAATGATAACGCATATTAGTACTACGGTCATCTACAAACGCCTTGAAATGCCTCGATGATAGTCTCTTGTGTGGGACCATTGGATCTAACAGTCAACTAACCTACGAGAATAAGCACTACTTTAATATTTCCGAATAATTAGATGACAATCCGGTAGCTGGACCTTCTGAAAACATTTATAAGAAGCAACTTAAGTTTTTTCGTAATATGTGATTGAGGAAAAAATGACTTACGAATGTTCCTCGTCCTAAATTATGATATATAGATTAGGCGGATTTTCTTCTGATAATTAAAGTCTCTGACGAAAATATGAAACTCTTTCGAAATGTTCACTTTAAAGAATCAGTATAGAGGAATATTTTGTCGTCTGCTGGTCCACAAATAAGATTTACATCAGAAGGTAAAATTGGCTCCTGGGAATGAACAACTTGAGGAGAAAGTGATACTTCGTAGAAATATTCTAAGAACCAGTAAAAGTTGGTTGACTTTTTTTAATTATCCATACAGACCGTTACTGTGTGGTGTCTGTGTGAAATAACAATTCCTCTGTGAACTACCATTGTGCATTGTATTTTAATTTTAATACACTAAATTCTTCAAGCACTGGTTCATTAGTAGCTACTAAGGTACGTTTCAGATAGATCTAAAAATTTCAATCTCGTGCGCTACCTTCAGTGCTGTTACTGCAGATTTCAAAAAACGGGACTTTTAGTAAATGCTTAACTTAATTGCTTGCAGTAAATTAACTGAATTTGAGTGATGATGAAGTACTCTGCACTAATCTAGGACTTAGATACCAAAACAATGTTTACGACGAGTTTAGACTAACCAAATAAAAAGGCGAAATTCGTTATCAAAAATTACATCTGATATTCAAGAGATTTGTTCTCAAAATTTTCAATCCTACGAGAGCGTAAATGTGAATGGAACTTTAGGGCTTGCATTTGTACCATAAGTTTTAGAACAAAAAATCCAACCAAAGACTCGAAGACTACCATTATAAACTCAATTATATGTATAGTTCTCTCAAATGATGATATAATCATATCAAAGTTGAATAACATGAAAGAAATAGCTGGGAGTTGTATCAAAATAGTCAGTAACCATGATCCAGCTAGTTCAGGGACCTAAAGAAAACGTTAGAAGAATAATACAGAAATACCAGCTCCATCAAATTTCCAGCATATCCAAGGTACAATCTAAGGCCTTCCAAAACAGAGTATAAGACGAATACAGCAGTATTAATTACTTTATAAACGGGGTCTAAGTATTCGAACTACAAAGTTATCAAGCTAATAATTAATTATTTTCAAGAATCTACCTCTATTATGAGTGTCATTAGCGTTCCGATAAACCAAAATGGGGAATAAAGAGAGTTGAAATAAAACAACATCTGTAAAGGTAAATTTGTAACATATTCGAATTCTGTATATATATTTATTAGGAATTATGCTACAAGGATGGAAACAACCTTTGTGTCTATTTTTAGAATAGATGCTTCCATGTGCACTTTTACTTAGGAATAAGTAATCCGCTATTGACTTCAAAGCACGTTTAGCTTTCTTTGACATTACCCAGAATTTCGAATCTGAAGCAAACTGAGTTGCGAAGGACAATCAGTCTCAATATTCAATACACGTTTCAAACATTCGAAAAGGACTTTATTATTTCTCACCCAAAGTGTCCGAATATAATCTAGACCACAGTTATTAAAAGTCAGGTTTCAAAATGTTCATTATCCAATAGCCGTGTGACGAGCTATTGCAATCCATTTCAGTTTCAGTTTCAGTTTGGGAAGGACAGAAGGCTCGATGGCCTATGTTAGTCCTGGCAATGGTGGTCTCTCATTTGATCCAACTTTCTTTTGAAGGAGTCGACGGATGGAGCCTCAACCACGTGCTGAGGTAGTGAATTCCACTCGTTGATGATTCGATGGGAAAGTCGATGGTCAGCTGACAAGTAATTTGTTCTCGGCTTATGAACTTTTTGGAGTGTCCTCGTAAATTCTCGTTTCGGAAGACAAGAAAGATGAGGGCATATCAGGTGCAAATTTGGCACTAAGCAATTTGAAAACTGTAATTAAGTCGCCTCTAGTTCTGCGATAAGACAACGGGAAAAGGTTCAGCTTGGCCAGTCGAGCTTCATACGGAAGCTTCGCTATTCCGGGAATCAGCTTAGTCGCCGTTCTCTGAACCTTTTCCAGAAGCTCACTGCTTTTTTAAGCAGGAGCTAGCCGCTTGTATGCAGTACTCAAGTTTAGGACGTACGAACACTGTATATAAAGTCAAAACGTTTTGGCGTCGACATGACTAAAAGCCCTACGTATTGACCATAAGGTTCTAAAACTTTTGGCGGCTATTGCACGGCAGTGTGCAGTAGTCTTTAATTCTTGGTTAACGATAACTCCTAAGTCATTATATTTCTGGACGACAGGTAGCTCAGTGTTATTCATCGTGTATGTATCTGTGCCTTGATGACCGATATGCATCACAACACACTTGGAAGTATTTATCGGCAACTGCCATGTTTGCGACCATTCAGATAACTTCTTCAGGTCATTTTGAAGTTCTAAGCTATCACTCTTACATCGTATCGTTTTCCATATCTTGACATCGTCAGCATATAGCAAGACCGATGATGATAGGAGACGAGGAAGGTCATTTGCATACAAGAGGAATAGCACTGGCCCCAAAACTGTACCGTGGGGCACTCCACTAAGCACAGTTTCCCAGCTAGATAACTTTGAGTCCACCCGTACTCTTTGTTGACGCCCAACTAATAGGTCTTTTATCCACATCAATAAATTGTTTATTTGTTATCAGTCTTCAGTAATAAGGATAGTAGGTTGTATAACCCGTGTTAATCCTGACAATTTGCCTTCCAGTGAAGGTTAAGCTTCTTCTTGGAAATATTCACTGATGGGATTTATACCACTTGGTTCGAGTGAGGCGTTCTAGTCATTGACTACTCGATTAGAAGAACGGGACCTCACTTTAAGTTTGTGAACCTTCTTGCTATAACCTCGGAGATTATCAGTGGGGGAGGGTGCAAAAAGATAAGACATATCAACACCCAAATCATAATTAAGGATACGAAATACCAGAATAAGGTCATTTCGTGTCTAAGATACGACAAGGGGAAAAGATTTCGGAGTTTTATGCTCTCATTGTAAGGAAGCTTAGAAAAACACTTCACTAATTTTGTTCCCGCACGCTGAATATGTTCAAGTGGGTTATAATCCTTTGTCGAACATGGGCTCGATCCCATCTAATTAATTCGTCTATGTCAGCTTTGAGATAAAACTTATCAACCTCAGTTCTTGTTGTTCTCTAGAATTTGACATCATCCGCAAACAATAATGTTGGCAACCTAAGCAACAGCAGTAATTCATTAAGGTAGAAAAATAACAATAGACAGCCTAAGATGGTTCCTTGGGTGATAATTGTTAAGGTTATCTGAGGGAAAACATACAGAACTATTTATTCAATAACACGGTTGAAATGAAATGAGCACCCGAAACGAATTTCGCAACCGAGATGATAAGGTGGCACTTCAAGAGAATATGACCCGACTTCAAAGTCGGGCAGATAAAATCAAGTCAAAAGTGTAGAGTAGTCCTGTAGAACTATGGTCTACTATGATATTAGTACTGCTCTAATAATAGACCTAATCCTAAAATTGTAGATTTGTCATGATATAACTGCCTAATCTATAAGATCTTACGTGGAAGTCATACCATCGACTACACCAACTCACTGTATCGTATCAATTACCAACACATGATACAGAACAAGGTTAGGCTAGAGAAAGAACAATATATTTATTATGAATAGAAGATTTAAGGTAACATTCAGATGGACCGCGCCTGCATGGCCGAGCCATGCCATCGATCAACTCCAATTCATTCAATTCATGGATCGCGCCTTCTCTTGTTAGGTATTTATCCGCGTTAAATATTGAATATCTATTTTCTGAGTAGTCTCGTGTTCAGCTTTGTGGATTGTGCGGTTATTGTCCAATGCCATTTTTTACACTACTCTCCCACCAGAATCAACGTGATGTTGGTTCGATACCAAATTGGATGGGATCGTCGCGCGCGGGGGGTTACCAAGGATAATAAGAATCCTCCGGGTATTGGTAAGCTGAAAGATAAATCAAAGAGAAAGCGGCAGCATCTGGTCGGGAAATACATGTAATAATTTTAAAATATCTGCCTTCATGCTTAAAACGCTTGAAATGAAAATTTGGGTGAAGATTATTTGAGCTATAAAAAATGGGGTTACAATAATAATAATAATAAAACGATGCGTGTTAATAGCCGTTGGTTAATAACTTAACGTATAGGTAGTAAGTATTTTGTGTTTAGAAATATTAAAGTGATGAATATTGTAGAAATGTTAATATTGGTATTAGTTTTGGTTTAAATTATGAAATCAAATAACGATTATGCCGGTAAGTTGTCCATATGAGTTGAATTCCAATTGCATCTGTATTAGTAGGCTAACTGAAGGAACAAAAGTATACCGTGGAGAAGAATTCCAACTAGTGTTCCAGTTAGTTTGATACGGTTTATTTAGTTACGGGGAGATTTTCTCAACCTCATTTTTACTTGACCGTGATAGAATTTAGTAATACTACTAATACACATGAATGGTTATCAAAATAAAATTTAAATACATGAGTGATAATTATATGAATTTTGGACAGATAGCTAGGAACAAATCGTTAAACATGAGTGTATTCGTAAGAGACATGCTCTGGACTCAATGTTCTGATCTGCGGCAGACTATTTATTTATATTTATACTTGCTGGCTGATTGGGCATACAAGTTAGTTGCAAGTATGCAGTTTATCATAAGGCGGAATACGATTTAATTGAGATATAGTGGTTATAAGTTATTAAAATCAGTTAAGCCTATGTCATATTACTAAGTGATGTGGTGCTGCAAGATGTATTTAGCTAAATAAGTTTTTACAAGATGATTAATAGTGAGTGATGCTCATGTGATTATCAGGGAGAACATAAGTTGTAACCAGGGGAGTACACTCCCAACTCATGTCTATGATAATGGCTTGAACCTTAGTCAGTGTTGGGGTAAATTCGACATTGATGTTTTCAGTTTGCAGGAGATTTGCTCGACTGCTTATACTGATTATTTGCATGCATGATTGTGTCGCTAAACCATCAATTAGACTGACAAGGTTTTGAGATATTTACTGAATGAGCAACTGATAGAGAAACATACTGTAATCATCTGTGATGGATGAAGATAAAAGAAAAACAACACTAATGGTAATTATAAGTCAATTTGCTGACCGATTTTGTTAATAGTTTCATTAATTTTATCAATCATATTACGTGATTGTCAAGTTATGACAATGCTTTATGACGATATCCTGAAACTATTAAATTTAACTAGTTATAGTGTTGATTGAGGATTAGTCAGTGGAAAAATAGGTATTGTTGCTTTAGGTGATTCGAAATTATCAGAAATTTATAACGTTAAAGAATCCGAGACGCCTAATTTAATTATAAATTTCAATTCAGAAATATTCGTTTAGTGTTAATTCTAGTAGGCTACGGAGTTTTGATTTTAAACGTTTGTTTAGCCAACAGCTACCTGGGATTTAGTTATTTTACTAGTGCAGTTGATAGTACCTAAATTTTTAATCTTATTATCTAAACTATGTTCGCATTTTAGGCTGCTAATATGATAAACCAATCCATAAACCCAAATACGATTAGCAACAACGACTATGATGGGTTTATTGATAAATGTTAAAGGCGATCCAGATGATTTCTAAATTTAGAAGACATGGAGATATAGTGTAACGTATGTATGGGCCAGGTTAACATGCAGGTTGTTGACGTATATGACGATTTAAAAATAATGAACATGACCAGAAAATAATTTTAAAGTTTAGACTGCTTGTGAAACTTCAGGCAGGAATATGATGCGTTATAAACATTCCATAAGAAGTTACTGCATTTAGCCTAGGGACACTTACAAATATATAGCAAAAGGAACCGGAAAACATATACATGTTAAGTAAAAAAATCATTAAGTAAAATAGTTGAACTCGCCTGGGTTATTTTTGAAAATTAGATTATTCAGTGGACGACATATATAACGCCATTCGTGAGGAGTAGTAATGATCCAAAAGTATCCAGAATAAAACATGCAGTATGGCAATTAATTCCAGGGTGCTTGATGCTGTTGACGTTTTTGCCACTCGCTCGGATCAGAACAACCGAATGAATCCAGATAATTGTGTGCCATTGAACGAGCCATCTAAAATGACCTTATGATTGCAGAAAACTTATGGCTGAAACTCACCGTATGTTTTTAGAGAAGTGTCATCCTTGTTGTTTGGCAATGGAACTCGAGAATTTGAAATTAGGCAGGCAGTGGTCGGAAGAAAAGATATTACAGGATAGTGCATAGTTTAAAACAGGATGAGGTGATAAGATAAGGAACACTGAATATTAGATCCAGGTAACTATTTAGTCCTTGCTGCATTGTTAGTCAATGTATATTTGCGTTATTTACAGGTCATATTTGCTAGAGCTTGATGCTTAAACAAGTCTATGTCGCTGAAGCATGTAAATGCTATTAAAGCTTGTTAACGAACCATCAAAGCTAATTAGTTAATATAGACGACCAGTTTTTATTATCGATTGAGCTAGTATGTCATGAGAACTAATCAATATAACATTACGATAATACATGTGAGCATTAATCAGGACT